TAAAAATACATTATTTTACATATGCTGATGATTATAATTGACCAAAATTTAGAATTTTAATCATATTTTAATAAATAGGGGGTATTTTTGGTAAAATACGAAAAACGGTGATACGGCACCGCACTATGCTCTAGGCTTGCGCTCACCTGTGTCTCTCTAGATATCAGCCGTCCATCTATTAATATGACAATCGGTTGTCATCGGGTGTCTCCCCGTCCTTGAAACCGTGACAAGGTCGCCGCCGAATATGTATTACTGATGATGCGTTCTGTTCCGTTTCCGACGTACACCTTAACTGGTTTGCTATTTTGATTTTTGGTGCTGTTTGGTTTTTACCCATACCTAACTTATTGAACTAACGCTATTTACATATTATTATAATAATATTTAATTATTTACTTAGGTTGGTTTCACTTATGGCGCTGAATTATACCGTGTGTGTGGTGCTCGCCGTACATAGGACAAGTTATAACTCGTGTACTTTGGATACGTATTAATGCTTTGGCGACCTGTAAAAATTTTTTTATCGACCTCAAATTTTCAAAACATGAATTTTTTATACAGAGTGATTTTTTTATCATAACCCACTCCATTACTTACAGAATAATAATAATTAAAAATTTTTTTTTTATTCTATCTTAAGGTTGCCAACTTTGTTTTTTTAAATGGTAACAGATATTTTTAATTTAATAAAATGTTTGAGTTTTTAATTCAATAATAAATGGCATTTGAATTTTTAATAAAACTTAATTTGTTTATTAGATATAAACATTTAAAGTTTCAAATTTTTGAGTTAATATACATGTATAATACACAAGGGAATACAAATACAGGTAGCTAATTGGTTTTTTATGATATTGCTATCACAGTCACGGATTGTTTATTATCAATTATGACTATCAATAGATATACTTTTTACAATACAGTTAGTGTATTTATAAACTCACAACAATGTACCTTACTATCATTGATAATAATAATGCTGTGTAACTGCTAATATCGATGTCATAAAAAACCAATTGGCTACCTGTATTTGTAATCCCTTGTGTATTATACATGTATATTAACTCAAAAATTTGAACTCAAACATTTTATTAAATTAAAAATACGTGTTACCATTTAAAAAAACAGAGTTGACACCCTTACCTCGCATAAGGGATGAACTTAAAAAGTATTACATAGATAACACTAGTTTACAACAAAATTGACCTATGACTTATGATAGTCATTTTTTATGTAAAATCGTTCACTGAGTCCGAAAATGAAGTCCAAAATACAAAAAGTAGAACAGTTTTTGAGTTATTGCGAAATTAGCGTTTTTCGTGTACCGCGAAAAAACGTTTTCATTATATTCTAAATATCTTTAATTGCATTCAACCGATTTTCATTTTTTTTACATAAAATTAAATAATATTAAATTACCTATAACTTTTATTTTAAACAATTTTTTATTTGACTTTTTTGTCGTTTGCTATCCACGAATTTACCACTGAATTTTTATCATTTTTTTCAAAATGTCAGAAAAAATTCAGAGTTTTACGTAAAATACACCAATAAAAAATAAATTTATCAACAATAATTTTAATAGACGTTATACTCTAATACATAACAAAGAAAATAATATATTATTTTGTAAAATTGATAAAAAAATGAAGAAGTTATGCGCGATTGAAAAATAAAACAAGGATACACAAAATACATGTGTTTTGTGTATCCTTGTTGCAAGCCAGTTACCATTGCAATGGCTTTAAGGTTTGCCCAAATTTTCCAATTGTGTGGATTGTAGTTGATTAGAGAAAGTAATTAGAGATAGCCATTGATTCATACGATTCTTTCATATTTACAGCATGCGCTAATGGAATTGAAAGTTTGATGTTTCCTTTGTGCAGTAAAACTGCTTTCAGACTTAGTTTATTGATATCAAAAAACAAACGCCATTCGGTTGGATCATATGGCTCACCAAATTCTTTAAACAAACCGTAAATGTCGTTACAATAACAAACATTGTTTTTTTTTTATATAATATTGAGCATAATATTTCTGACGACTTCGGTAAAATGTAACTTTTACTTGTGATTTTAATCAATTTTATTCTTGCAATCTTGACGCCAATAACTCTGATTTTTCCTTTGAGAGTTTCAAATGTCTTATTAAATCATTAAGTTCAGTTTGGGTAAAAAGCTTCGGAATTTTTTCATGTTGAAAACTAATGTCAGTCTTACACTCGGCATGATTACTTGGTTCGGGCGATTCACTATATTCTTTTTTCCTTTTGGAAAAACAGGATATTTAACTGAGAGTGAATGTGGAACTGGTTTTGACATGATGTTTACATTTTAGGAAATTTGTTTTATTTTTCAATCGCGCATAACTTCTTCATTTTTTTATCAATTTTACAAAATAATATATCATTTTCTTTGTTATGTATTAGAGTATAACGTCTATTAAAATTATTGTTGATAAATTTATTTTTTATTGGTGTATTTTACGTAAAACTCTGAATTTTTTCTGACATTTTGAAAAAAATGATAAAAATTCAGTGGTAAATTCGTGGATAGCAAACGACAAAAAAGTCAAATAAAAAATTGTTTAAAATAAAAGTTATAGGTAATTTAATATTGTTTAATTTTATGTAAAAAAAATGAAAATCGGTTGAATGCAATTAAAGATATTTAGAATATAATGAAAACGTTTTTTCGCGGTACACGAAAAACGCTAATTTCGCAATAACTCAAAAACTGTTCTACTTTTTGTATTTTGGACTTCATTTTCGGACTCAGTGGACGATTTTACATAAAAAATGACTATCATAAGTCATAGGTCAGAAAATTTTTTTTTATTTGTAAACTAGTGTAATAATTCAAGAATAATGTGTAACTAAAGATAATAAATGTAACGTGACAAAAGTATCTATTTATTTTTTGTCTATTTGTATATATATATATATTTGTGTTGAGCCGAATGCGGACTGTTGCGGTGTTTGTCGGTAAAATTATCATGATAAGGTGTTGTGATTTGTTTATGCGCGTGCGAGATAGTCAGCTGTGTACTACTTCAGACCGGTTCATGGACCGCATTTGTGTCTACATTCACCCCGCTCCTTTCCTATCTTGAACGTCATTTGCACTGCTCACCGCATACATTGTCGCCTTATGATTTAAATTGTTCTTAGTAATTTCCGGCACTGGGTATTAAGTTTTTTTTGACCCCTACTCTAAAGGCTAGCCGTGTTGTCGCCAACGGACCGCCGGGTCAAACGTCGGACGGGTTGTCGGAAATTAGCCATCGTCGGAAATGGTACGCTAATTTTCGTCCGTAGTAGTATTTTTTGTTGTGTGCGCTACAACTATAATAATTGTTTTTTTTGTTTTACGTGAGTGTCCGATATTTTTTTATATGTAATATTTTATTGATGGCGTCGTCTAATCATGCATCCACTTTTTGTAGCCCTTCGGGGCGGGTAATGTATACTGTTTATTTAATGTTTTGAGCCAGTTTTTTTAATGAGTGCGCCGTGCCTTAAGCACGTGTGGTGAATTTTTTTTATATTTTTTTATATAGTTTTTTTTTTGTGTAGGTGCCCCTATTTTTTTTATTTAGGTCCCGCAACATGGCAGGCGTGTATAAGACCACCTGCCATGTTATATCCATATTTTTTTGTGATTTTTTTTATAGGTTTTGTATTATATTTTATGGGTATATATTATTGGTACAATGTGGTGACGTAGTGCATTTTATTCCGGGGTGTCCCAACGTCTTGCAAGCTATGCCTAACTGCCTAAAACCAGTCGCTTACTTGGGGCGTATACCCACCGTGCTTAGCGGTAATGCCGCGATTAATAGACGGTGGGTACCCGAAGACGTTCATCGTATTCTCTAATACTAGAAGTGTAGATGTAACTAGTATTTTTTTGAATAATATTTCTTTTTTTCTCTTTCTTTGTTCCCCTTTAATTTGTAGACGAGGTTTTTTTGACCATTCGGTTTTTTGCCTCGTAGTAACTTAATTTTTTTTGTTTTTTTTTTTTCTTAATAAAGTCCCCTTAATTTAACTTAACCATCATGTTTTTCTTTTTTTTTGCGTGTTCCATCGTCAATGGACTCGTGTATTTTTTTTCCTTTCAAAAATCAACTCCCCTAGTTTATAAGGTACGGGCAACCGCCTTGTATAAGGTCATCCCTCATAAAATGGTTATGTGACAACTATCACGAGGTTTTCGTGTACATCTACTATCAACGACTCAACGGACATCAACTTTAATAATTATTAATTTTATATTTTTGGTTAATTGTTTTAATATACAAAAGTTAATTTTTTTTTAAATCCTACTGTGGTCCGACAATACACTGTCTCGCCCAGTAGGTTGGCGACCCTTTTCTTATAATTATGTAAAACGCCATGAAAGTTACAAATTTTTCGTTGCGGCCAATTAGTTTGATTTTTTTATATATTTGTAACCTTTCATAATAAAATAAAATTTTTAAATTATTATTATTCTGTAAGTAATTGAGTGGGTTATGATAAAAAAATCACCCTGTATACTTAATAAATTTTGGGGGTGTCTGATAAAAATTTTTAGGGTCAATTTTTTTTGCCCCACCCTACTGTGCAATTTAGCCAAAATACTTTGATTGGTTCAATAATTATATTTTCATACATATTCATTGTTAGTAAAAAACAGTTGCATGCAACTAGATCTAGATAACTTTGTTGATACACTTAGCAATTTTTTGTAGTAAGAGAAAACATTTTTTGTTACACGTTACAGTTGAGCATAAGTATTGCTCGTGTAACAAATAAATCTTCAATTTAACTAATTTTTTTTTTTATATAAATATTTCAAAATTTTTTAATATAATAATAAAAAGTAAGATTAATTTTTATTTGAATAAATGGATGATGGCAAAAATTGGAATATATAATAGGTATGTTAATTTAATTTAAAATACCGTTATATTGGTCTCACTGTACAATCTCGGCATTATGAAATTCTGGCTACGCTGAATGTTGTACGTGGTATTCATAATTGGCATAGACAATTTTAACGACAAACATTATTCAATTGTTAGTAATTTGACACAGTAAGTATTTTGAACATGTATTTTTATAAATAATAATATTTAAATTTTACTTTTTAATATATGTTTTTAGATGAATTATTTTACATCGGTGGTTCAAAAATTCTTGTGTTTAAGTTTTATCATAGGTAAAATACCTCTTGTGAAATAGTAAAATTTATTTAATACCAACAATATATTAAAATTCTTAAAATATCATTAATAACTATTTTATGTGATTGAACGATGGATTCTCATATTTTGGGAATCTTATAATTTTTTTTGCTAGTTATAAGCTTTAATAACAATTTACTGCTGTTGAATCGCTTAAAATTTCAGTTACTCTCGAAAAAAAAAGATATTTAATGCTTGAAAAATATTTAATATATAGACTATTGAAAATATCGTATCATAATTCAAAAGCTCACTTTTTGTACAATTTAATATTTTTTTTAAACTCATTAAAGCTTTGATGAGCGCGTGGTGTGGTACGGTGGTCACACTAGTTGTTGACAAAACTCTAGTGTTAAACCGCGTTTACCGCCGTAGGTGAACGAATGGGTGACCATGCGTGCGCTTTTACGGTGGCGAAAAAGCATCGTTTTCCCAGTGCAGAAGGCAACGGGAAACCACTTCACTTAATTTCCCAGGATATAAGCTATAAAAAAGCTATAACAAGGCTTAGCCTTTAGAAAAAAAGAAGATAGCTTTGATGCGTAGCTGAGAAGTTATTAGTTTTACACTGTGATGTTATTTTTGTGTTTATTAATGTAATTATTCTGCTCCTAGTGGACTAATTTTGCTTATCGATATGTCAATCACGAAACGTACCTAATTGAAGATATTTTGGGGACTTAGAAATTATAAAACATATTTAATATTATTCTACTTTAGCTAAGTTATAGTCAAAATAATTATTTTTTTGTATTACAGTATTGTACGATTACATTAATATTGGAATTATAATCAGTTTTGATATCACTATATAAAGTCTATTTAATATTATTATCACTATTATGTTAAATTTTTGCATATAAAATATAATATATAAATTATAATAGTCTACACTTTACACTACTTCACTGCTCTACTATATAGTTACAAATGATGTACAATAGTCTTAAATATTTTTTCTAAAGTTACTGCTTACGTGGTTCTTTATAATTAAACTTTTTTTCATGATTGGTAATTGTAAATTATAAATTATTAATTTATAACTACCTAAACTATCCATTAAAAAAATTAAAACGACCATATTAGCCACTGTACAAGGTTTTGTCTTGAATTTACATAAAAACACTAATTCTTAATAATTTCACTATTAATTGCCAGATCATTTAATTTTGTCGATTTAATTCAAGTTTTTCTAAATATAACGCAATAATACGAAAAACGACTTCTATTAAGTTTGTTTAGTATTCAAATTACGAAAATTTGGTTTTATATGGATGTAATACACGTATAATATTAAATAATGCAATGAAATATAATATAATTATATTTAATTCTTTGTTATTTAATATTTATAAGAATTATAAAGATTAAATAACAATAATAATTATTATTGTCTTATTTTAAGAGAATGTATGATCATAATTGTTGATTAATATTTTGTATTTTTATAGTAATAGTCGTTTCAACGGCAGATGGTAAGTTTTAACCAGACATTTTTTTCACTTTTAGCTTCAATCCGAAGCTGAGAGGGTATTAATTTTACTATGTGTTTTTTTTTTTTTGTGTCAGTGAACGCTCAACTTAGCTCTCGCTGAACCGATTTTGATAAACAATACGTCAAAAGATCACAAATCGTATATAATCGATGACATTACCCTCCAAAATTGAAAAAATTCTCTCATTTCCCGTAAACGAGGGGAATCCCATGAAAAATTACAAATTTAAAAATCGCTAATTTTCGACATTTATTAAATTTTTTTTACTTAAAACTTCCATAACTCTTTTAAAAATGAAGAAATCAAAATAATTTTTTTTTTATAAATATCTCAGGTATTACCTATCATTTGGTATAGCTGGGAGGGTTTCATAATGGCAAATTTTTCACAAAAAATAAACTTTTTCAACTTAACTTTTGAAAATGTTCCGGAAATACTGACACTTTTATATATACATTAAATTAAAGCATATCTAATATACTTTATTTTGAAACAAAAAATTTGACTTCTGGATTTGTCTTCATGAAAATGATTACCGTATTCAAGAATATGCTATTTTTGTGTTAAAATTTTGGGTTTTGTATTTTATTTTGTTTTATTTTAAAATACCTGACAAGGGGAGTTTTCATAAATATTACATAAATCCATTTAATGTAGTATAGAAAAATAAACTTATTTAAATTTTTTTTGTTTTTTTTTAAGCCGAGAAAAATAACTTTGTGTTATCAAAAGTGTTACTTTTATCACCTTCCCTTATTTAATGCTTTTTGTGGTGCCTAGAAGACGCTGAGACAGACAATGACTCATGGCTACTTTGTAGTTGCCAAAAGTCAATACCAAATGTATAATCGTGTTAGCATATTCTTTTCTGTGGTCTTAGAAATACAAGAGGTATTGATTTTATTAATATTCCAAAGGAGAATATTACAGCTCGTTCCTTATCCTATCTTCTCTAGTCACTCCACTCATTCAACTAAGCATTCTCATCTCTGCTACACTTATTCTCTGCTCTACTTTTTTATCAACCGCCCAACACTATGAACCATACATCATAGCTGGTCTCACAATTTCATACTAAATTTAAAAACTATAATTAGTATTTATTCATATATTATATTTTAAAATCAAAGAACTACTAATCAGAATATAATTAAAGAAATAAGAGTTGATGTTGCTTTTAGAATAATCCACCAATTTCTCTAAATGAAACACTATCTACAGATTTGCATCGAAGCGTTTCTTATGATAGTAATTTTAATCACTGTCAGATATCATCTATACTTGTCCCATCTATGTCTCGTCCACACTGTGCCTCGACCCCACTGTGCTACCGTTTTTTATAATTATATTTATGTAATGAGCTGTATTTTTTTATTAATTATTTTACTTTATTATAAATTAAATTAATTTTATTTATGTGTGGAGTGCAGTGTTCTTTCTTCTAGCCAACGCTAAGGATCGATTGTCCAGACCGCTGCTGGTATTTTTCATCAATTTCCAATTAACATTAACTGTTCATGTTTAACTTAATTTTCTTTTTTTTTAACAATTAAATTAAATTTCCTTATAAACTTCAACTTTAATATTTATTTTATTGCGCGAGTAACTTAATTACTCACGTGTATTTATCCCTATTCCTTAATCTAGACACGGGCTACGGTATGTTTTACATATCAACCACATATAATTTTAATTATCATTGTTGTGGTTAATAAATCACGAAGTGTTATAATCATTTATATATAAAACAACATGTTAAATTAAATTAGACTATTAATAATTAATAGTTAATTATTAACTTAAAATTAAATTCCACTTATGGTCCGGTAACCATATTTAATTGGTGTGACACGTCGTCTAGGTGGTGGCGACCCTTGCTAAAATAGCCAGTCGTTATGCAAGTAACAAAACACATTTTTATTGTAGGCCGACAAAAAGTCCACTTGCGAGAATTATAATTCATTAATATAATAAATACGTATATAGAATAATTTTTTGTCATAACCCACTCACTAAGTACTCAGTACTAAGTAGTTGAAAGGGTTTTTTATCCCCGAGTATACTAGGAGATAAAAATTAATTTAACCATTTCATTTATTGATATGGTACACATTATTTTTGAGTTATTAGCTATGTAATTCTTTTTAAATGCATCCCTTATGTCTTATAAAAATTTTAAGTTTGTTTTTACAAATGGGAACAAATATTTTGAATTTAATAAAATATTTAAAGTTTTTTTTTTTAAATAGTAAATTATGTTTGGATTTTCAATATAACTTCTATTTGTTTATTAAATAAAACACTTTAATATTTCGAATTTTTGAGTTAAAATATACGGTATAATTTATGAGGGTTTATACTGACCAGTAGCCAATTACTTTTTTACTCGCCCTTATTCACAGATACATTGTATTTATTGTTAATTATGACTATATCAAAAGATACTACTTCTATTTTGTTGGTTGATGTATTTATAAATGTTAATTCACAACAATGTACTTTTCTATCATACTTTAACACATATATATATATTATACATTTTTTAGTACTATCATACTAAAAATTATATTAACTCAAAAAACAAAGATTGGCTTCAACGTGTTAAAAATGTTTAGTTTTTTTAACATTTTATCTTAATTAGTTAATTTGTGTTTAACACAGTACTATTCCATTACCATGTTCAAATGTATTATACTGACATTATATCGTGGAAAATTCTTTATTCTTTGTTTAATAAAGAATTTTCCAAAAAATCATTAATGACGTACTTTGTAAATATATTGAAAATATACAAATTTTATTTTTATAACAAAAATTTGAAGAACAGAGAAGGTCATTATTAAAATAAAATTTTACTCAAATAATAATCTAAATAAAAAATATTTTTTTTATTTTATTACAGTAGTTTTAATTTTTGAAAAATTACTGTTCAAATACACTACTAGTCGAATAATTATCAAATATCATAATTTAAGTAAAAATTTATAGGAATAATTTTGAGATGTATTTATTCGAATAAAAATCTATTACTACATTATTTTAAATTTTATTTTTATTACATTATTTTATAATTTTTACTCATACAATTATGTTAGAAAAGAATTCGAATAATATTGTTTGAAATTATCTAATTTAATTAAATTTTTATTCGAATAATGTTTAGATGAAAATTTGCCCAACACTGATGATGAACAAGAAGGTTGTGTGATTTGTTCAGAAAATTACCCAACAGTGTCATTAAGTGGTTGCAACCATAAAATGTGTAATTCTTGTGTAAATAGAATGCTGGTTATTAATAAATGTACTTATAAATGTCCTCGTTGTCTAGCATACATATCTGATTTCATAAATGCAGGTAAGTACTTTTTTTATGATTGAAAAATTCTTTTATTGATTTGACTAAATATTATAAAGAAAAGCATATTAATAAAAAAAAATTTAAAGAAAAACACCAAAAATACAATAAATTCAATATAATATGTGTTAAATTATAATTTATATATTTGAAAAATATATTTCAATATAAGCAACAACGTATCATAAAAACGCATAACAAAAGTAAGATCTCTTTCAGAGGCTACTGTTACCCAATACTCCTCAAAAATAATATTAATAACAAAGGTTTTCCTGGTTTAATTTTTTGAAAGTTGAATCTATTTGAATTCGTAGAAAATTGACCTACTTGTTAATATTTTAACAAATTAATATTAAAACACAACGGTGAAAAAACATATTAATAGTTTTAATAATTACTAAGCAGTATTATTTTTAAGTTTATTTTATTGTGATGGTCTTATTATTCATATAACAATATTAAATTTGTATTATTTTGTATGACTGTAGAATTTTTCATAACAAAATTCTAGCAATATTTTATGATTATTCTTATTTGTTTCAAAAATAATACGGTAACGTTAACTGAAAATTATTTGGAGACAATTCATATGTTCTGAGAGTATATTATAAAAATTAAAAAATTATTACTTTAATATTATATTCTAAATAATACAATAATTTTTTAGTAATGTTACAACTGTATTTTGGATTCAAGGAAGAATTATCAAGAAATATTACCAGAAAATTGTTATTTTAAAATTGAATCTAGGAAAATATTCCTACATAGTTTTATCAAAATATTATAAGTTGGAAAGATTGTTGTAAGATTATACGCATAATATTTTTCAGACATTATGCATACAATTTTATGAAAATATTTAAATCTATTTATTTTGAATTATTTTTACATTACAATTTAAATATTATTAATAGAGCATTTCGTGATAATTATTTTAAATTTACAATATATTAGATTTATCACTTATTTAATACTATAAGAATATAAGAATATAAATATTTCAGAACTTTTATTCGGGTACCATATAATAAAATAAATGTTATAGCGACACATTTCAATAATTATCATTTTTCTGATTTTGAAACTAATATGAATAAAAAAACAAAATTTTAAGTTCTAAAAATTTTATTAATTTAAGTACGATAGTTTCCAATAGATGATCTTACAAAAAATTACCTTATTTCTCCTCTCCTGTAAAATTTTTTTTCAGTTACGTTTTACTATTTTTTTTCTATAACTTGCCTGTACTAAATAATTAAACAAAACATTGTTTTTTCTTTGAGTGTAAATAAAATAAAATAATAATGATAATTTTTAAAGAGCCAGACACTAGAAATATTTGTTATACTTGTGAAAAAGAACCCATGGCAGTGGAATTTCATTGTAAATATGGACACAAGATGTGTAATAATTGTGCTTATAGATATTATCATGTAGTTAAAAGAAAATCACGATGTCCATATTGCAATTTATCTATAGAAGATTACAGTAATCAACGTAAGTATTTATTGAGTTTTACACAATGAATTACAGTATTTTATAATTTTTTCATTTGAAAAATTAATTAAGATATTACCAGTGGCGTATTAAGAAATTTCTAGAGATACAGATATATTTTAGAATAGAGTCTAGGGGGATACATTTTTTCATTATCCTCTGTCGATATCATTTTATGCCAATAAGAGGTCGGACCATCAAATCGTAAATACACGCTTGATATACAAAGTAGTTCAGTATTTTCTGTTAGGAACCTCTTATTTACTGAATTGCTATATAATTTTGTCTTGTTTTTTTTTACACGTGTTAATAATTTTGTTAGTATTTAAATGCGGTGTTGGCCTGGGTTGAGTACAATGTAACCCACTGAAATAGCCAGCTAGCTTAAATCGTTTGTTGTCATTACCAGACAGTTAGTACGGTGATGGTAATTTCTGGTAGAGTTCGAGTCTTGTAAAGCATCTGTCAGAACCTCGTGTATTAAGTTTTTCTATAATATTGTAATTTTGTGTTATTTTAACTTCATTATACAGAAAGTCGGTCAAAACCACAATTTAGTCGTTTGAATCATTTATTTATTAAGTACTATAATCTAATTTTTCTACTGGCTCCGCACGTTACAGTTCTAACAAATTCTATAATTTATATAATATTTAATCTAGTTAATATATATATATATATATATATATATA